TACCATGACAACATAATGTCTTTCATTCAATCTTGAATGTGCTTTTTTTTTTGTTTTAAAGTATTCAAGTTGCTCCCATGCTTGACAATTTTTATCCGTTAGAACAAACATTGCTCTCACGATCAAACTCGTCGTTGTCGTCTTAACAATAACATAACCAATTGTTGCAACAATTCTTCAAGCAGTTGAAAAGTAATCTCATATTGAATGCACAATAATAATTGTGATATGTGATTTGTCTTATGGAGCTTTCGATATTATAATGTTTTGATGTTAAAAATTTAATCAGATCTTGAATCCAAACCTAAATCCTCACCTAGATAATTTCAGTTATCAAAATATTAGAGTTGAATTCTAATAGTTCATTTGTATTGTCTAATTTTTTCATCTTAATGACATAATCAATTGTTGAAAAATGCGACTGGATCCAAGTAATGATTCAAACTAGATCCATGAAAAGCCCAAACCTTCCATCAAGCAACCTAGCTCCAAAACCAGATGTTGAAAAACCTTGGCACTCCCAACCTGCAATGATCAAGTCTAGGCAATTAAGAAGATCAAGATGTTGTTGTTGTATAAGCTGAATTTCACAAGGAAAGAAGTTGAAGCTTGTCTTCTATACAATGGTTGGAAATAGCTACAAAAGCTAGTGCTAAGTTCACACATGCTGCCATTTTACCATCACAAGGGTCAACATCAATGTAAATGTAGCATCATACCACTATGTCTGATTGCAAAATTGCATTGAAATCTATAGAATTATCATCAAAAAACTCCAAAATTCCAAAAGTATGATTTCATCCAAGAATGTTATCGCTGTCTTGGACTTGTTTGGTAATGGCTTGGACTCCATCCTTGGTTGGAATCTAGACCGACATTTTGATCAAGAATGATGGAATTGATTCCTTGTCGCTTTTCAGGTTTTTGAATGTGTGCATGGTTATTTCTCGATTTGTGCGTGTCATCCTTGCGCAGGGGCCATGCTAATCTTCTCTGTATCGTTCCAATTTTATCGGATGTCCCCGAAGGGACGGGAAGGGACCCTTATAACCAAAGGCTTGTGGGTTGACTTGATACTTTGTAAAATCTCTTGTCCATGCACAACTTTGAAGTAATCAGACACCAAGCTTTCAATTGCTTGGGCAGCGGCAATTTCCTTCTCATCTATCTTCTATCATTCATGTAGTTGATTAGAAACGTAAGAAATAATATTTTTTTATCAATAAAAAATGGTGTGCGGATGGTGTATGATTTGCATGTAAAACTAGAGATATGTAACCTAGATTCAGATCATTCGTCTCTCAATTAAACAATCAATCATCAATGTCTCAATCAAGCACTGTTATTAAAGTATGCTTGTGTCAATTGTCGATGGTAAAGATAGGAGTAAACAATGACTCTTGATCAATCAAAAAGTCATAGCTGGTGATATTTGAACTAAACATTGCATCTGCAATTGAAATTTTTTGTCCTGAAACTCATATATAATGCTTTGATTTGCTCTTTTCTTTATGTACCTATTCTTTTAAGTTTGCTACTAGATTGTACTTCTTGTACTTCTTTTGGACACCACACTTATCATTGGATATGAGTTCAGATTTGTGCACTAATCCAATTGTTGTTGTTAGTGTTTAGCGTGGATTGACTTAAAAATCTATTCTTCAAACGATACAAAAGTATTAAGTTAAAACACTATATGTCAGGACAACCCAGATTTCTTACGTATCGGTTTCAACTTACACACTAACTAGCACACTCAATCTTTACCTAACAAGCACGAAGATTGATGACGTGTCATTTTCAACTTACACACTAACTATCACACTCAATCTTTAGCTAGAATACACACAGATTGATGACATGTAGTTTCTAATTAGCACACGGATTGCTGACATGGCATTGCACATATAACTCTATAATCTTATCTACTCAATTTTGAATAACTTTTACTTTAGTTCTAACTAACTAAAGATGGTGACAACGTTCAAGACAATCTCCATCACATAATCATAGCATCAGTGTGGTGTCAAAAACTAAAATCTAATCTACTTAGTTTTGAATAACGTCTACTTTAGTTCTCACTAACTAAAGATGGTGACAACGTTCAAGACAATCTCCATCACATAATCATAGCATCAATGTGGTATCAAAAACTAAAATCTAATCTACTCACTTTTGAATAACGTCTACTTTAGTTCTAACTAACTAAAGATGGTGACAACGTTCAAGACAATCTCCATCACATAATCATAGCATCAATGTGGTGTCCAAAACTAAAATCTAATTTACTGAATTTTGAATAATGTCTACTTTAGTTCTAACTAACTAAAGATGGTGACAACGTTCAAAACAATCTCCATCACATAATCATAGCATCAGTGTGGTGTCAAAAACTGAAATCTAATTTACTGAATCTTGAATGACGTATACTTTAGTTCTAACTAACTAAAGATGGTGACAACGTTCAAGACAGTCTCCATCACATAATCATAGCACCAGTGTGGTGTCAAAAACTGAAATCTAATTTACTAAATCTTGAATAACGTCTACTTTAGTTCTAACTAACTAAAGATGGTGACAACGTTCAAGACAATCTCCATCACATAATCATAGTATAAGTCTGATGTCAAAACTGAAACAGCAATTAGATGATAATTATGAAGTTATTCAAGAACAAACAAAACATAACGTTAATATGGCTGTCAAAAAACAGAGCAGCAATTAAATGATAATTGTGAAATTTTTTAACAAAGCATACATCATAACGTTAGTATAGCTGCCAAAAAACAAAACATCAATTACATGATAATTGTGAAGTTTTGAAACAACGCGCAAATCTTAGCGTTCGTATGACAATCGAACAATGATTCTAATCATAATTGAAAAGCTTTTCAAGAATGCACGAACAAATCCTGATTTCAATGTAGGACATGCTTTTACAATTTGAAACATGTACATCAATTGTGAATGTACAAAAATTTGACATCATGTCAAAATGCAATTGCACCAAACATTGTCACTTATTTTGCAAGAACACCCTTGTTGCAATATCCCAGCTTAGTACCATCTGTGATACCTTTGACATCTTTTATAGCAGAGTATGCCATGCAACAAAAGAGTACAGATCAAGGAAACGTGTTTCAAGTTCATACTCTTTCACCCGTTTTATATAAACCTAATACTTTTGAGCTGCATCATCAAAAGGAAATGTTCACAACGCATTCAAAACACTATTGTGAAAATCAATTAGCTCGGCTGCCTTGACATATACTTTGAAGAACTTTCTCTTGTCATCATCAGAAAGTATAATAAATTGTTCATTTTCCTAAATATAGGGATTGTAAATAACAATTTTGGAGACATAACAAAATATCAAAGATCCAACATGTCTGAAATTTCTTGTCTTCAATGCCAAATGCAACACAAAACCAGCATCAAGCATCAAGTTTTAATCCTCTGATCTATGATGGCAGGGCAAATGACACCAAATTGCAACTCATGTTTGTGCTAGAAAGTCGTGACAACAGAAATCGAGACTTTCTGCTTTTTTAGCAGGTTGGAAGGAGATAGCTAAGGGCAAAGATGAACGTTAAGTTACAAGGATGATGGAAAAAGAGCTGGATCGAGGTTGAATAGTGGAAGTGAATACAAGATACACCATAGATACCAACTCCGTGGCCCACAACAAAAATTTCACAGTTTCAATAGAAATTTATTTCCGTAAATAAGTTACTCTGTGAGAATGAAATTTGTTAAATCAATTATTTATAAAGAGAATAACTAATTTAAAGAGATCTATCCATATGTAAAAAAAATGGTGACAATTTTTATCTTATTATTCTAGTATTAAATATGGATGAAATTTTCATCTTGTAAATAAATTGTAAGAATCAATCAAATTTTTGATTCAAGAGTAAAGATTTAGATAAATTTAAGTGAATATTAACGGATATCCATAAAATATTGAAGGAAAAAAGAACTTCCAACAAATGGAGATTAGTACATTTTTGTATGATTGGATCAAGATATAATATGTCATCTGGAATTGTTCACTTCAAACTTAAAATCATGTGTAGATGTCCACTTATAGCTAATCCTTAAGATCAAGGCGGTAGGAGACTTGACTCTTTGGTTCTGTAATAGGTTCTGTTTAGACATGTGCATAGTAACAATGCCAAAACATCGATTATTTAAAAAAATTCGCCACAGGTACTAAACACCGCTTTGCAAACTGTTTCAAGAAACGGTTTCATGGATATTGTAAACATTCATGCTTTGAACAATCTTAAAACGTGCAAGTGCAACGAGCAAAGCTCATCCCATAGTTTCAAGACTCAGAGAGTGGACTGTACAACAACCACGTGCATATAATGAGTTCCATTGATGATATGAAAATGACGGCAACTCTCTTTTGAAATATTAAAAACTAGTAGTCTTCCCGACTGCTCCTGCGTCGTGTGAAAGTGCACATAAGAATGTCACAGAAGTATAAGTTGTGACCAGTTATGACCAATACTGCAACAATGATTGATTTTATTTTACATTTGTCCTCCCGGGAATCGATAGAAATCTTCGATTACACTGTTAACGGAAATTTAAGTGTGACACACGCCAATATTCATCTCACACTCGAGTGAGCAATTGACCACTTTGCAATCGTTTTTTATCCATGGATGCCTCAAAGACAACTTCCTCAGGTTCACTAAGCTGAGCTGAGTTGGGCTAATTGCTTCTAAACAAATAGACTGATTTCACGGCAATAGAAAATCAGCCGCATGCCAGAACTTTCAAAACATTCAAAAACTTCTCAAAATCTACGAGTTGTGAAAGACTTTGAAACTAACTATGACTAGAATTAGATAAGAAGGGTCATCGAAGAGCATATGGATTTCAAGTTTCTGCATGCACTGAAGTAGCAGAACTGACGAAAAAGTAAATGTGCGGCAAAGACAGCCCCAACCGTCCTCGACAAAGGGCGTCAAACTACCATCGATCCATTTGAAAACTTAACAGAAATAATAAGATTGAAAGTGATAACTGAACGATTTCGTACAGATAGACAAAAATGTGCATTTGAAAACATTTCAAGTTTATGCAGTCATGCAATAATGAAAACTTCCATATAATCCCCTTCAATAGTAAAATTGAGCTCATCTTCTACATCATCACCAAAAGTAGATCTATCAATACAATATGTTACAATAAGACCAATGCGATACAATCAAAATATAATGACAATTCCGTCGTGGATCCTTGCTTTCTGGTTTTGAGCAACACACTCTGATATCCACATCAGGTTCCTCGTCTCCTGTTCTCGCAACTTCATGTACGCGAAGAAAACTGCATAATGAAACTGAAAACAGAGAACAAATTTTGCACGAAACGCCATCAGAACTGCAGAAAAACATTTTTATACATAAATAATTTAAAGCCAAGTCAAACGAGGAGAAAAAAGAAAAAGAAAAAAAAAGGTTATGTCAGGAAATGTGCTCCTATATACAACAATTTAATAAGAGATGAAAATGCTAATAGATCTCATCTTATTTCAAAAAATAACAACACACCTGCTGTTCGAAGACAAGAGTCAATCGTTTAACCTCCTCTTCATAAAAGGCTTTATCTAGCATTTGACTTTCACCAAAAGAAAGTTTTGCGAAGATAGCTTGATATGGTGGATATTTTTCTACGGCTCCACGCACCTAAAGAGGAAGACAAAAAATGCGTAAAGATGATATCAGGGTCAGTATGGCTACTCGTTACAACATGATCATCACCAGGGATGTCGCAAGCCCCTCTACAATGTCCAAAGTTGAAAATCAATCAACTGCACTACAATATCATTATTATGCAGAAAATTTGTAATATATAGATATTTCCTCATTAGTAAAATTTTAACCCAGGTGAAATAAAATTAATAGTTTTTACTACAGAAAACTTATTGAGCTTCATAATAAATCAAGAGGAAGACAGAAGCTCAGACCGCGTCAAAATCTTCGCAAACGGCAAGCTCCTCATGACCATAGGGATACCTGGAAGTGACAAACAATATGCAGATGTTACTAACTACAACCCAGTGATACAATTTGACAAGGTATTCTTTGCACTTTATGGATTCCTCTTTACTGCCCATACAGACCGAACAAACAAACGAAAAGCCTCATTATCTAAATCAAGGATCACATGTTCAAACAGGTTGTAGATCAAGACACTTTATCCGTTCCCATCTTCCAAAGGGTGGCAACTTACAGAAGCCCAAAGTTCGAGTAGAGCTTCCTTCTATCATCCCGTGTCAATTCAGTGCCGATGCTGTAGACAACCCACCAATTGTATGATTACAAGTCCGACGCTTGACAAACGTGTCCAAGTACAGCAAGAAATCAAAAAAATCCCGGCTTTTTACTTGGTTAATATGATTTAGGTCCGGTCGAAAAGCATACGGCAACTTAGCACACAATACTGTTTCACAAATAGTTCGCCATCAAAACAGAAACTGCAAAAACAAACGCATCGGGATGTACTAACCTATTTACAGTGATATTCACAGCCCTCCAATCTGCCTCAAAGCTCAGTAAATCGCACATCAATTCGGCAGTCGCACCTCCGATACCCTGATAAGTTTTAAGAGAATCAGTCAGTTCCATTCCGAAGTCTGCATTTGCAGTTAGTTGACAACGAGATTTGAAGTTGACTGATAGGTCAAAAATATACAGTAACGAGCAAGATGATAAACACATGAAGGCCATTGAACATCATTCTTCAAGCATAATAAGCACAAGCATGATATCACACCGGAAGTGTGGGCACGCTATTAGCTTCCAGAAAAGACTTTGAAACAGATTTAATGTTTAGGTGTTCAAGGAAGGTTTTCGATGCGGATATAGATCTATGGTTCTCTTGATGTTTTCTGATATCAACCTTCAACAATGTTTAGACCTTCAATTCGCATGGATTACCTAACGTACTTGATGGATCCATGTTCAAAAGACAGACGAATATCGGATATCGCGGATATCTACTCCGCTTGATATGTTATTCGGTCTAAACACACACTGAATGGGCCGTGTTCTCATCTACTACACATAATAAATGCCCAGGTAAATAAACTCTGTTGCTTAGATATCAACGGATAACTGCTTCAGTAAAATCTACGAGAATTCGTCCACATTCTGACAGTTCATCTTATCGAACCACATCCACCAATATAACAAGACTTCGCTCTGCAAGCCGGGTAGCGGGTTGCGAGTTGTATGGAGGTCAGGTTACAAAGGCATATTTTTGTTGGTTCACAAGACTCTATGTGCAGGACAAAATTTCTTGCAGAAGGCCCATCTGCTACGACCCACTTATTATGCAAGACACAGTTTTGTCAGTGCTAAGAATGCGAATGTGTTACGTTCGAAATTAAAAAGGTAAAAAATCAGTTTTTGAGAATGCAAGATGCGTACCTTACACAACTTGTAAAAGTCCTCCAGGTAAGCTTTGTAGAGAGTGTTGCGCATAATCTCAATGTTCATGTCATCTAAATCCTGCAAGGATAACGTGGAAATGAATAAGTCCAAAATTTGACCGATAGGTAGCCCTTTGCTAAGTGTTAGTTATTATCATAGTTTTAGGTTTAGTCCAAGATAACAATGAAGGAGTAGATGAAACATTTTCTTTAGAACCCTGTCTTTATATTAAGCAACAAATTTGAGAAGGTTTTTTCCATATTAATATTTTGAATAAGTTTTCTTAACTGACACTTACTTCAGAAGTAATGCATTCCGAAAAGTACGGAGCAAGAGGAGTGTCCACAAGGACAAGTTTGTACAATTCTCGCATATTCTGAGCCACCGCAAGAGTTGCGATGCTGCAACACGGCAATTCATATGTCAGCATCCATAAAGATGGAATCTATAACCAAAACATTGAAAAAACACAAAATGACTCTTCCAGGCATATCCAGTGATGAAGTTATTATAGCTAAAGCATTATAGACTGCTTGCTTGAACAAGCAATTATGTTATATTGAGTTAAGGATTATGAAAAGCCGGCTGACCAACCTGTCAAACATTCCAAGAGGATGACATTTCTCCAGCAGCTCGTGGACGTCTCTCTCATGCAGACATCCAGTAACTATAAGCACCACGTTATCAATCATATGTCCATATCTGCTCCACAACATGGTTGAACACGTATGTCTATACTCCATCAGAAAAATGTAGCAAATAAAATTTGAACTTCTTAACCACGAATAGAGAAAATTGTTCAACTTTCAAATGTGCTCGCCATGTGAGCACAAATAGTAAGCATCAAAAGAAACTATGGCTCGAGGAGCACGTACGTGATGTACTCCAAAAACGTTGACAGAGGTTCTGAAACTTGGGTGAGCATGAAGTTGTACTCATCCACTAGCTTCTGAGTGCACTTTTCCACAATGGTTGCGGTATGTAATGGTGATGGTTCTGTTCAATAAAACAGACGCAGAGTTAAGAGCCACATCCAAGTAAGTTATTCTACGGCTCAAGCTGAAGATTCCCAAAAAAGAAACAAACAAACAAACTCATAAGGGTATGACACTAAACTGTTCCACAATTTTCCGCTCCTACAGAAGGAAGGAAAAAAAATGTCAAAAACAAAAGTGATGAATATATGCTGTAATAATATAAACGGCGATCAGGTCTAATTGGGAGAGAGGAGTACCATTAGCTAGGTAGGGACCATAGTCAGTAGCAGACAGATGCAATTTGATATCGTCAAGGGTCTCACACTGGCAGAGATTGTTGTAATCAGCGGCGGTAAGCAAGCCGGCACGGTAACCGCGAACGATGGCTTCTAAGAAGCCACCGTTCACATTAAAGGTCATAGCCTCAAATCCGTACATCGTGCTTTAGCCCTACCTGAACCATTACGCATAAACATGTCAATTTTTATGGAGCAGAGCTGCAAAACAAGCTTCAAGCACGCCACTGCTACTCTGATCGATAATAAGAGTACGAATCCTACATCGACTTTCAGCTTCGACATTCCAGGATTTGTGAGATAAATTTTCAACACAGTTGGCGCACATGCCTCTTCCGAATGTTGACAGCGGAAGAAAGTGCAAGACAGGAAGCAGAAGTAGTATCCGCATGCAGCTCTAAGACGGATCCGCTACTTCCAGATTTCAGGTCGGGTTCATTTTGAGCAAACTGCGCTCACAAAAGCTTCAAACCCAGCAGCATGTACTAAGGAAACCAACACTCAAAACATTTGGCCAAACAGTACAAATTCTTACCTCCCTAAAATCGTCCGAGTGGCACCACGCCTTGCGCCTGACCACGCTTCGGATCGCAATCCGTTGTGGAGCAGATCGCAGAGATCTAGAGCCGAAGACGTGAGAGGCAGGCGCAAAATTGGTCGCGTTTCGAGCTTTTTCCACTTCCACCTGCAGCAACGAGGACGAGGAGGAAGCGCGTGACTGTAAGAGAGCGAGGGAGACTGCCTTTCCTCCTTCCTCTTGCCAGCGCTCGCTCCATACGTGTCCTAAATGGACGCAGAAGACATTCTCCGTCTGTCATTACAACGTGAATGGTCCTCGACTTCACGTCCGGAGGTCGGAAGCTTCCGGTTGCCGGACGTGCAGTTCTTCACAAATAATGCAGGGCATGAATTTGCCTCCTAATCGATCACGTGGCTGCTTTTGGCCAAGTTGATAATAATATAACAAGTTAACATTAAGTTTATCAACTCTTGTTATAACATGTACAGTCAATTTCCATGTATACTCAGTCCTAATAAGGAAAACTTGATGTTCGAGGATTGCAAGCTAGTCACTCCAAAGTTATCAGTATTCACATTGTTTCAATCGAATATTAAATTAAAAATACATTAACATATATAATTATATTTTAAATTATGAATAAGCTAGTTTGAATCACTTAAGCATTCATAATTTGATACTCCGAAAGATAAAGTATATAAACTAGTTCATATCATGTCCCAATATTCACAGATTTACATCAAATTACTATAAATGGTCGGAAACATAGAAAAAAAACTGAGAATATTGCATCAAGACATACCATGATGTATCCAAATAGAGCCCAAGGCTATGCTACAATAGTAGCACATAACATTATGTATCCGAAAGTTATCAAAATTTCAATATAGAAATTTTTTTAAATCTAAATCTTATTTCAAATTGAAATATAATATGAAAAAAAAATATGGAAAAATTACCAAAATTCTAGGCTACTGAAAACCAAACTTCAAAATGTGAGAAATTAACAGCTAAATATTAAAATAATTTTATCACATATTTGGATAAGTAGTTATGTTAAAATAATTATAATCAACATAAAACGAAATGCTTTTATTTAGTTACCACTTATACACATTTATGATTTGACTCTCCATGACTCACAAAAGTTATCCTGGAATGAACAAAGAATTACATCCGAACTATAATCACTGCTCCCGCTATTTCGCACGGCGAACAATATTCTCATCAAGTCAATAACCGAGAGGCATACTGACTCAGATTACAAAAATAGGCATGCGTAAAAATATCAATTATATCTTTTAAACTAACATCAAGATTGGTAAAGTGATGTTTTCCGGTATGTGTCAAAATTACTTACGGAAGTACGAAATGTGTTTTGCTCTACTACTAGAACGATCGAACAATGATAAGTAAAGAATAAACACATAACTGTTTGGCAATGCGGGAGAATATGCATGATACAGTTCTATCATAGTAACTGCCGTAGACTGCACAACTTCGCGTCTAGTCTCCACATAACATCTACATTAATGAATGCCAAAATTACTCTGGTGCATCTTTTACAGTGGTGCACAATTTGTTCGGTTGTCGTGGGAATGCGCGGTGTGAGGATATGCAGATGCAGCGGGAATAAGCGCTAAGAGACGACTCAAGGTCATAGATCAGTGAAACTGTTGAAAGCAATTTGTGCCCGGTGAGATAAGACCAGCAGCAGCGGCATCTATAACACAAGCGCCGGACCCTAAGTACAATTTTTACGAGCTACTGACTTCGTTAAATCGTTCGAAACAATCAACATTAATCTGGTGCTTACTTCAGAGTGGTGCATTCTCTTCTACGTTGTCTTGGGGATGCGCGGTGTGTGGGTATATAGTTGCAGCAGGAATATGCGGTGAGAAAGAAACTCAAGTTTATAGTTCAATGAACACGGTTGGAAGCAATTCGTGCCCCGGAAATTAAGACCAGATACAGTAACTGTAACATCAGTGCCGGATATAAATTACAGTGTTTACAATTTACGACCTATGTGAAAACGTTCGAAACAATCAACAACCTTTTCTGTTTTTTTCCAAGCCTTCTCATACAACGACCGCGGGTCCTAATGTGTAACAGTGGGCGCATTTGTGAACCCATTTGTAAGTAGGCCATAAGCATTATACGCGGCACCTTCCAATGAACAGTATGTGGAGATTGATCAGCTTGCAATAACAATGCTTTCGTAGATATTGGTCACCTTGGTAGAACTCGTCATCCTCTACATTAATTCCATCTTGTACACGAAGGAGACGTAAAGAGTGAAGTCTCAGATTTTTATAAAGCATTCGAAGTGACACACTTCAGAACATGGTGCTCCAACTATTTTAAGACACCTGACCATGCACAAGTTGCACGAAGTGTGGGGATACTTACCTACATACTTACCTACCTTACTTACTTCTCTACATAAGACTTACGTGCATGCACTGTTCACAGCAATAGAGATGTGGCCACGGGATAAAATGTGGACTCCACTCTTCACACTTCGCTCTTCAAAATGCCTCTCATGATGAGATAAAAGACGCCTATTTCTTCATATCACTTTTGGCAACCAGTATAAGCATAAGCCTCGAAAGTCAAAATTTTATTGCAAGCACAAGAAGCAACTGAAAAGCAGTCAATCCATACTTTACACGTATCTAACAGAAAGTTTTATTCTGAAGGGTTAGAACATTCGTTCTTAAAGTACAAACATAATCAAACGTTGACAGACCCTCCGTGATCCACTAATTGATTTTGAGGGCAATATACAGGTGTGGAATATACTCGATCATTCAAAAGATAGAATTTTATCTGTTTGAGATGAACCGTGATGAATGGAAACGGCGGGCAACACGGGTTTGAACAGACCCTCAAGTACATGACTGAGAGTTGCTCCCGTTTTTTTTCATTACAAAATACTACCGCTGGCACATATTGACATCAATTTGAAAAGCACAGCGTGCTCGATGACAACCATCTGTAAGGTCTTCCTCTCTCAGATTCGGGAAAGTTCATGAGTTAAAACTACCCACTGACCAGAATGTGATCCCACCTACTCTGAAAGCCGGCATGTAACTACATTAGTGACTTGTCCTTTCAAATGTCATCTAAAAAGCCGTGTGTTGAGTTTTAACTACGAACAATCATCTTATCGAAAATGGAACATACCTGAAGGTCAAAGGAAGCAAGGTATTGATCTGGTCATGGTTGCCAAACTTCTGAAGCATGACGAAGTCCAGAAATGCAGGAAAACATATCTGGTAGCCTTCGCAGCCCAAAAAAAATCTGGTTTAGAGCTTCCATCGTCCACTCGCAAAGAAATATAGTTGTCATAAGTCATGGTTGTGTAGTCCAAGTGTGTAAAGTCTGATTGGAGAGACGATACCGCATGTCCATGACCGCCATAGAATACTCGGGGATACTCAACTCGTCAAGATTTTCCACAGTGAAGTATCTAATATACTTCAATTCATGGCATACTTTTGTGTCCACGCTCTTGCTGTCTCCTCGTAACGAGCCCTCTGGTTCTTATAAATGTGTGCAATCTCAGGCACAAGAGGATCATCTGGATTGGGATCAGTCAACAAGGAGCAAATTGACAATAAAACCTTCGATATTGTCAAAGCAGGGCTCCACTGTTCCTTCAAAATGTCCAGACAGATACTTCCCGTGGAGTTGATATTGGGGTGGTATACCTGCTCACAAACAAGCTTGGAGTCAATAGGTTGACAGACAACTTCGGTTAAGAGATCTGAGTCGAAAGATTGACATATGCTTGGAAAACCCAAATTACAAGTCTAGCGTGTGGGAGCAGAACTTTTCTAGAAACCATCCATCAACATTTATTTGAGGCCATTAGAGTCGTACAAATTTAAGTTATTTCGCGGGACTACTGCTAATGTAAAGTCGAAGACTAAATCATAATATTATTGAGAGAAGACGATGTAGCAAACAAGGTCCCTAAAGAAGGACCTCTTTAGCGTCTGGAGATTTTGATTGACAATCTAGAATCTGAAATTTGGGAGTTGATACCTGGATGGTGTAAGACCTTCAAGTTCCATGTGTGAGTCTCGTCTACTTTGTTGAGTATTTCACATCAACAAAAAATTGGCAACCTGGAAAGTTAAATGTTACACACCTGTGTAGCAATGTCTGGCAAAATGCCGCTTACAATGTTTGTGGATTAGCTTAAATAAAGGACAATGTCCATCCACATGACATTCCTCAATTTCACTTGAGAAAGATGGAACCACAACTTGATCTCAACAGGGCTGCTACCAAGAGAAGGAGGACCATGTTTAAAAAACTGGGAGCTCATGGGATCTCACAGTGAGTGTCATTTGCTCGTGATCTGTAACATGATAGCCCCACACTCAATCTTTAGCCCCAATACAGAAAAGAGACCATAAGAATGTTGTGCAGATTAACACTTCATCTGCATTCACTGACATGAAAACTTCTTGGAACTTTGGCACAAGAACTAAAAGTGAACTACAAATAGTTAGTTTTCAGGTTTTGATTTCGAAGATCATGTGGCCTGGAGCAAACTATCATCTGCTTAAGAAAAAGGAGGGGGACGGAACTCGGGGCTACATGACAGAAAATCGAAAATAAATGAAATAGACTTATACAAATTACCTTTCACTAACCAACTACTTATGGTAGTGGAGGCGCAGTTCTGTTGCAGCAAAGCGCCATGCTCAAGACAAGGATGACTGTCAGCCTTCATAAGAGCTCAATACTAGTGGTTTCCACGTTGGTTCAATTCAACAGAAGAAAAACATGATCTTCTCACAATCATCGTACTACCTTAACTGCCGTACCGAAGAGTGAGAGTAGAGTTGACAGCCGAGATTGGGTATAAATCATTACGACTCTAACCGGTGCATGGTCAACAATATTCAGGCACTTACAAGGTACGAGCTATCTGACGATTGATTCCTTACGTTTCAACCTCTTACTTACAGTAGGAAAAATAAACAATCAGCACTTCATTACAAATCACAAACAGAAGCGTTTCAAGGAGTATCAACCCAAGACTCAGGCAGAGTACTCAAACTGCGACCATATCAACATGCACTCATGTTTACAATATGAGATTGAAATTGATAGTTATCAATCCTCACCTTCGTCTGGAAGTTGACCTTTGGAGGCTTGAATGGATAATCAGGGGGGAAATGGATCATAACAAAGAAGACACCGCCCGCATAAGGGCTATCAGAAGGACCCATAATGGTAGCTTGCCAGTGAAACAGATCTTCTCCTACAGGCCCTGCGCTGCATGATGTCGGCGGATCTCGCTGCAGATCTTGCAGCTCCTTTTGTATCCGCTTGCTCGCCATTCTCAACCTTTCTACCCACCTTCCTTACTTCTTCTCTTCCTGACTACAAAAAATCCTCTCTCCTTCTTCCCAGTTTCCAACACCTTCAACGCATACTAATCTCGTCCCGACTCCTCCCTTCCTCCAAGATAGCGAACGTTCAGAACCTAGCAACGACAAAAGCACCCATACAATCACCTTACAAATCTCACAGACAAAGAGAGAGAAAAGGAGAGAGAGACAGGTAGAAACAGAGGGTGAGATCGGTAGAAGAAATGTTCCCGCCCCGACACGGAACAAATCTCTTCACTTCCTTGCTCTACACCTGCATAAAAATCCACTCAACTGCCTGCCCTAACAACTGATACAACAATAGCAACAGGCAGCAGAGTCACGCCAAATGCCACTGTGGAAAACCTCACTTCGGGACAGGACAGATAGACACATACAGTCAGACGCAAGAGCCAAAGCCTCCCCGATTCGATCGATCCTCCTCGTTTTCTCCCTTCTTCCTCTCCCTTCCTTCCGTCCTTGCCTCCCCTCCCCTGCCCTGCCCTCCCTGCCTCCGTTCACATTCCCTCGTTCACTGGCTTTGGCTTGGGCTTCAGGCGAGGCGGGTTCGTGGCGGGGAGTCGACCCTAACCTCGTAGGCTCGTCCTCTCTTCTCGTTTCGTCTTCTCGTTCCCACTCTCCACTGAATGCTCTGCTCTGCACCTTTGGACAAGCCAGACAGCCAGCCTACAGAAGAGTGTAGTCGGGATTCCGAAGACACGTGTCACGGCCTGGAACTTAAGCTAGGTTTGGAGCAATTGGAGCCTGCCTCGTGGCGAAGATGGCCAGGACAGGACGGTTCAAACAAGTCTGGTGACTCTGGTCCATGACTGACTGGACATGGGATTTCTGTGCCACGTGTATTGACTTGGTCTCGAACTGTTTGACCCGACCCGCTTAAAGTAGGCTCGGGCCGCAAACGCTTTATGCGTCATTTTGGGAAATTTGAATTCCTCTATAAGAGAAGTCTGGAAGATATGGACCTGTCGAGCATTTTGGACCATGAGTTTCGCGGTATATTCTCCCGAGCTCACTCTAGCTACTACAGAAAATGGGCGAATGACCTCCGGATTCTCATTATACACTCGATGACGTCACGATGGGCTCCTTTCCGTTTGATGCCCGATAAGCCTGCCATCCTAGGCCTTCGTTTCTGAGTTGTGCAGAATTTATAACCTGTGATAAGACAATAAACACCATGCAGATATTATCAACTGCATGCACTGCATGGACCCACCCCCAATGACCTGAGTTGTGACTGTGTCACAACTCAGGTCTCACAACTAAGCCAATATTCTACTTTCATGGGCTAGAATTGCTTTACTGTGTGTGGCAGGCAACTGGGATTCTGCAGGATGCCTTCGATTTCTTGGGATGGACAGGATTTCCAAATTCTCTTGCACTTGAGTTGCAACGTTGACTAATATGACCTCTAGACTTTTCTCTGTGTGTTGTTCTTGCTGTACATCATTAGTTGGTGATTGTCCTATTCTATTTATCAGCCGTTCACATCTTGAAATTTGCTCCTTTCCTTTGGGAACATATGTTAACCTACATTTGGTTCTTTTCTTTGGTAATTTCACGATTATAGGAAATTGATTTATGCTGTTTGAAGACACTGTAGGTTGTGCTTTGCGATCCGTTCTAACCTCTCATTTTCCAGGTCGGCTCAGAGAGGGGAAGTCCGAAGTAGGTGAGATGGAACCAATGGACGGTCGAAATCAAAAGGTTTTTGAATGCTTTTTGAAACCGAAAGGTGAGAACGAATCAATTATCAATAAGTAGTGCACCCAATCCACTTCTTGAGCTTGGTCCACTAAGCTTATACATAGTTTCTCTGGTTATGTTAAGCTTCATCAAAAGTCACCTCTAGTGATCCTCACGATCCAACAACCTTCGCCCTAGCACTTAGGCGGTGCGTTGGTGAAGCTGTTTCCAGTTCTCTTTTCTAGATGATCAATACTCTACGGTGAGGAGAGTGTTTGTTTCATACAATTCTGTCTTGTCTTGGGAGGGTATAAGACAATATTTGTCACCGTGTGACTAGACATAACCTGCTTCATTTTGCCTTCTAGCCATCACAATGATCTAACTTGGACCCCTTTGTGCACAAACGTTTTGCTATCTAATGTAAGTCCAAAAGCATCCAGTATCTTTGTTGTCTAGCCCCTGGATGTAATATGGACGGAAGGTACAATTAGCATCACAAACATGTACAGTTATGTGAGATTGATTGTTCAGTTCAGACAAGACAAGATTGAACAGGTTTCCATCGTTTTCATGACAACTTGATAATGATGAACAGGGAAATGGTTTTCACCAAGAAGAGACCATGGATATATGTAGAGTTAACATATGCTTGGCGCTAGCGCTGTATAGCGAGTTCGCGTTTAGTGATCATTCTAGACATGCATTTCACGATAAGTGGGTTGGAATTAATCCATCCAAAACATCACGCAAACTTGTGGAGTCTAACCTCTACAATTAGTAAACTAAGCCGTCTTCATTTTTCTCTGCAAATAAGGTCATATTCGGAATTAATTTTCCTATTTGCGAAGACATTAACAGCAAGGTAGCCTTGTTGATACTGAAGTGACCGGTAAATTTTTATTTTGTTTTATCCTTGACATATCTACACCCAATAAAATCAAGAAGTATATAGTATAAAGTATGGGAAGAACCCACCAAGACGTTAAATGATATACCAAAAGGAAGGAAGGTGTGTTATGACTGATATAAATTGAACGGAGTGCAATATCACTTGTTATCAGGCCGTTTGTCGAAGACGGTCGGAGTTTCCCTTATGACAGGTATGAAGCAGTTACAAAGCATCGCAGTAAAGCTCTCGCAACATTTAGCCTATGAGATAACAAAAAGTTCACACCGCTCCTCGTGAGACATTTCACACCCTTGTCCAGGTTCATGAACTGGGGCAAGGGTCGTGGGGGACCATCGGCGGTGATAGAGAAGAATGGGGAGATTTGTGATTCCACAAAAGCATATTGAATCTGCTTTTGTGGAATCTCAAATCGTGGGCAAGAATATTTTTTTTGCAGAAATCACTCTTCCTTGGCAGTGTTCACTATGCACTTCACTTTCACTGTGCAGAATTGTTTTAGAGCTGACCGATACAAGGAGATCGCGCCTTTATTCACAATGCTTGTATTAGGGGCTAGAAAATATACATAGTTTTCTTCTTTGATCGCATGGAAACTTATGTTTCTTGTCGATGCCGAAACCTAATGATTCAGCTGAGGGGTTTATACAGATTTGCTCAACTAAGATCTGTTGACCTGAAATTCGTCATTGGCAGGTATTCTGCGCTACCTTAGACAAGGACGAAGCCCTAAGGGTTTGTTGGGCCAACGTGAGCGAAAGCAGCGAGGAGCTCAGATATCTAGCAATCCAGAGTATTTTCCAGCTCCCATTGACTGATGTGGGCAGCGTAAGATTTCCATTGCTGCATCTGAACTTTCACGTAACTCTTCACGAATTCTTCCCCAAAGCTCTGTGCAAACACTTCGCTCCTATTTAGCACAGAGGGATCCTACAAAAATCGCATCGCATCTTTCCGTCTCGTGGAGAATAACTCATAAAATACTAAGAAGACTGGACGCAACAGAGCCACGGAAAGGTCGAAAGCAGGATACGCACCTGTTTTGCAAAGTTTGATGAGGAAAGCTCGCGTAGAGCGTCAAGAAAATTTGTTGGAAGACGATCTAGACTCTGCATATGGCGAACGGCTCAAGTTGTCACCATATAAATCCTCTCCCTGTGACTAACATACGGCTCCCGCCTCAGAAGTAAAAGGGCAAAGAAGTACATACCTCTTTATCAGGGTGGGGCTCAAAGCCATCCCAATCCCGACGAGGGCCAGGGTCCAGCTGATTCTCGATTCCGTCAAGTCCACTAGCTGTCAGCATGCACATTCAAGCATTTAACTCAACCTCTTCCCGATATTGCTCTCTGTCGCTTCATGGTAGCAGGTAACAGCTTTTAAGATTACCAAACAGCAAGTAACATATCCATACACCCACGTCTCGAGACATGCTTTCATGACTAAGATACTCATGGACGGCGAGTATGAAGATACTGCACTGGTATGCATTTCCTCCTAATCGCAACGACATATATGACTCACCCAAAATGGCTGCTTGGAGCAAGTAAGGGTTGACGGCACCATCAGGAACCCTCAACTCAAACCTACCTTCATCTGGAATGCTGACAACGAGAATCATAAAGGTTTGAGGTCTTAGAACAGATTGTCAGCTTTGATTTCAAGATTCAGCTAGTCTTTAGTTCTCCAAATGAAACTGGATGAATATTCACTACATCGTCGTAATGTTCTACCTGCATAGGACCTGATCCTGAATGTATTATGTGCATAGCCTCTAATGTACAAACGTAGCTTTTGCTACACAAGTGTCACTCCTCCTTGACATAGGATGAGCTTTTACGGAGATCAAATCCACACGAAGTCAATGCCAAACAGAAGAAATAGGATTTCACTCAGACACTCAAGTTATGAGGAGTAACCTCACCGGACCAGGTGAGTCCTGTTGTTGCCTGCGTAAGAGATAATGTTGGGTGCCCACGATGAACCAGACAGGGTAGTCTGCCCATCGATTCGCTTGAAGCTATTTACAGTGGGATTGTATATTCCGCACAATACCTGCATCGTGAATGCTTAGCAAACTTACGCAAAAACAAGTCTCCATTTGCGATCGACATGGCGGGAAGGAGAGTGTAATTTCGGTACAAAGCTTAACACAATTCCAAAGGAGAACAGGAATGTTTTTCGAATCTGCTGAATGGAGAATGCTGTCACCGGTCTGAAAGGAATGAAACCCTGTCTACAAATTCCCAGGGTCAACGTACCTTGGCGTTCCCCAGCAGGCCTCCGAGAAAATGGTAAGATAGCTTAGACATTCCCTGAGATCCAACTTCGAATGTTAATTGGTGAATGCATGTCTGAGAACAAAAGTTGAGGATTCTGATTCTTTGACGGACCTAAATATATTTGAATTAGAGAAGCTATGACCATATTTTAGTCACAAAAAGCCTCTTCGTGATGTATAAAGTTAACTGTTGTTGCTCACCAGCTCTTTTTCTGGATCATGGAATAAGTTTGTTGAGCACGTTTCATCGTGTGTCGAGTTGTTGTGGTCCCAGACAGATATATGAGTATGACAGCCATTTCCGGTTTGATGTCGGAACGGTTTTGGCATGAAAGTTGCTTGAAAGCCTGAATCGATCCAAAGAAGGTGGGTAACATGTTCATTCGCAAAATGGTTGATAAGGTCAGGCCCAGATGCACAGTTGAACTTTAACTGCTGCCCTAGGGGGCAGGTAGGAGACTTACCATGTTGTTCTGCGACAGATTTAACCATGAACTTGAAGAAAACATGCTTGTCAGCTGTTCTCAAACAATCGTCATATTTCCAGTTGATTTCAAATTGACTTTGACCATCCTGAACAGGAAGGCATGGGCTCAATTTTCTCACAAGCCGAAGGACGTTCATTAGCTGGTTTTTGAGCTTTATTGAAGCTAGCTAAGACTAAACATGTACGTGCTGTTTATTTAGCTAATTGTTGTTTTAGTACCTCATGATCTGCTTGGTAAGGTTCCCAGCCCAGGCTCTCCATGTATTCCAACAATTTTGAAATGACATCAAAACTTCTCATCAATGCACCCTGCAAAATAGAAAGAACTACTCAATGTTTTGCAACACCGCACAATTATTCAGCTGACTGCCATACCACTTCATTTTCAAAATTAGCTCGAGTACTTTACTGCTGCTGCTTTCAGTAGTCCTCTTCTTCTTCATGTAAGCTAGCTCAGTACTAGAATGCTATTAAGATGTACCAAAACACACAACTGCACGAAAAATTAAGTCTGTCTGTCTAAGAGATTCCTTATGATCAAGCCAAGTCTTCCTTACGAGCTCCTCTGCGTAGGCTTACTTAATCTCTGTACAGAGAAACTCTGTGTACAAAAATGAGGTCTTTCCGACTTCAGGAACCTCATACCTGAACTCAAAACGAATGGCCTCGATAGCCTAAAAGGACTTCAGAGCCTATCATGTCGACATTTGTGACTCCGTCCTTAACAAAGATCACGATTGTTAAAATTGGTCTAACTGGAGCTTACCTGTCTATAACAAGGCTTGGGCGCTATTTCAAAAGCATCTGCTGCTTCAGGCTTTGATCCAGATGAGCTATTCCGTGACAACAGGAAAAATTCACATTCCACGCCCGTCTTCATATAGTAGCCTCCGTCGCACGCCTTGGGAGCCTTAGCAACCTTGGCAACCTGGACATCACGAAAAAGTTCATTCCTTGTCAGTTTGAACAGTCAAGAGCACAAACCAAAGAGATATCTCAAATTCATACACATACTTTTCGATCAGTCAGTAGAACCAAACATCGAAAATGATGCTTTCAACTTCCTACTACCACCTAGAAGCTAAATTACTTCCAGAATTCTCTAAGTAATTGTACGGTAAATGCAGTGACAGAGTGAGATTTTCTTCTGGAAATTGAGCTACTTTGTTAAACTCAAATGGCAATTCGCTGGACAGTGAGACCGGAGGTGGAGCTCCTTAAAAGTTTTCCATGATTTCTTACTTGATCCTTGAGCACCTGACGAGGGGCCTGCTTGAAAAGTTTTCCATTTATATAGAGATCGCTGGCGACCCAAGCCACCTCCTTCTTCCAGGGGAGTTGAATCAAAGTAGACATATCTGGAAACGCCATCTGATACAGATAAGGGTCGATAAAACCAGGAACCCCAAAGTAAGCACGTACTGCATATGTGTGGAAAAACTTGGAGAACTTTAAGTGTCGAATTTTGACAAATTTCTCACATGATAGTCAAATTCTCACCTTAATTAGATTACACACCAAAAAGTCTAATCTGATACTCACCAGATCAGCATCTGCAGTTGTCATGTCAAAGTGGACAGCATACCCAGCAAACCCGGCCCCTTTCTCCAGCATCTGCTTGATTGCAGAAGTGGGCACGAGCTTCGACCGCAGCACACCGAGCAGGTCCACAAAAGTTACCTGAGACAAAATCAATTCCACATGAAAAGGATTACAGGTTTCAGATAATTCGACATGCTCCATGGAATCAGCTCTTCCTGTATGTCGCTAATATAACATCCTCAACCAATACTCACTCTAGTCTCTACAATTCATCGACTCCAACAACATGCAACAAATATTCTCCAGTTCGTCAGTCAGCTAGAATTTCAAAAGCTACGTCAGACAAACAGATGAATCATATTTACCAGAAAATACTTGATGTCCGCGGGGAACCTGTGTGTAGTATACCCTATGACTACCTCGCGACAATCTTCCATATCTGGAAGTCTCTAGCAGGAGCTCTCTCGCGAAATTGAAGTCAAACATCAGCGTACATGTCAACGGAAATTGTGAATTCCCTGCTCCTGGGAACGGCAGCAAGGGGATCTGCGAGGATCCGACAATCATTTATACAATACGACCATCATTCTTTCCAAGATTGCATGCTCCCCACGTTTGTCTACTTTCTGAAAGTGGAACAGTAAACAACAATCACAATTGTCGTCCGGACGTAATCGTTACAGATGTCCACCATTGATGATTGATGTTCTGAATAAATCTTACAACTTTCTGACAGAGAGAAAGTTTACTGAATTAATTTTTCACCTGAAATAATTTATCAATCCTAAAGACAACTTCTTGTTGGATTCAAGCAGAGATGATTCAGACCCCACTATCGAGCACATTGATAAAATTCACAAATAACTGTTATTTTGTTTCAAGCTTGTCGATTATCGAGCTAGATTCTAAAAGCTTACGCAAGTTGATATTTTACATCTTGGTGGAAATCATATAATATTGGATGATGATTTGATATTGAAGTGTTCATCCACATATGAAGGTTTTGTCAAACCATCAGAAACATGATGATTGCATTTGAAATAGAAAACAAATATTTATTTATTTTCATTATTATGTAAAATTCATATATAGTTTTTACATAATAATTCAGTTGAATCATGTACTATGCAGTAAGCATTCATAATTATTGCTTTGCTGATACTTTTTTTAATGCTAAAAACCATCCTAAGTATATGTCATATTTCGTCAAATGCATTAAAATATATTGTTCATCTATTAAAAAAAATTATTGGTGAAAATATTTCCTCAACTGTAATTCTTATTTTCTTATTGGAATCTTTTCCGGAAATCAATAAGCTCGCCTACCATTGATGCTTTTGTTGGAAACATGGATAAAAAGAATGTGTATTTGGACAAAAAGTCATGTTGTCCCTTGTTCTTATTTTTTAAATTTCAAGTTTGTCTTCGAGCTTGAATTCCGAAGCATCAGCCATCATCTAACAAATATTTAAATAAAATCAACAGTTTTTAAAATCACGGTAAATTTTATGTGAAAAAAAGTATGAAGAATAGGTGCAAAAGTTTGAAATATCACGTACGTATCATATTTACTTGATGAAAATCTACTTTAATCAAAGTGGAACTTGTTCATGACTCGTTTACTTTTAGCAAGTCTAACTATGGTTCGTTACAACATTTAGCATGCTTGTTTATAAGAGAGATAATCTTAGCTCCCAATGACAGAATTTAGGATTTTAGAGAGAGAATTGAAAATCTAATAGAGAAAAAATTGGTATTGAAAATAAAAAAATTAACATCAACATTTCAATTTTTGATCATCCAATCTGTGATTGGATGACAATATTCAAGTTTTTGCTACAATAAAGTTACATTTTAGACCATAGATGTTGAACAAAATAAAGATAAGTGAAGATTTTTTAATTTTTTCCAAGAAAAATTAGGCAGAATTTTTTAATACATTTTGCAAATATATTCATGAGTTTTCCTTTAGTTACAAAAACATGAATCATTTTATTCTTGATATTCATCACATTGAGTAAAAGTATTATCATTCTTCTATTCAAAATCAATGTAATATGCATCTATCATGATGATGAAGAAAGAAATAAAAAATTCAAAAGATGTTGGAAATATGTATTAAAATAGGAAAAAAATGATAAATTACTTGCATGCGTGTATTTTAAAAAATTTAATGTGGACAAGAATAATAATAATAATATACTTTGTCTTTTAAAGGTGAGATTTTAGAAAAAAATGCCTATAGTGCCATGCTTTTGAAGATGTTTTATTGACTAGAATCAAATCTAATTTGCTTCAAAGAATTAAGTTAAAACTACTTATATTGAGAGATTTGCTTGATGGACCCTTCATGTTTTGTTTTACCCGAGAGTACACCATGAACGATGCACTGTCACCCATGTTCTAATAACGACTTGAGTTCTAGAGAGAGTGCAATGAGTCAACCACACCCGCGGATAGAGTGGACTTTGCACTCCATCACACTCACTTGTTTTTATTTTGTCATTCTGTATCCGGCCACTTCCCTAGTTGACGAGCAAATAAATGCTCATCCGGAGTTTATTTGTTCGCCACAAACGGGTGACCGCGAGACTTGAGCTCGGACCACTTTCCTGTATGAGCTCCTCGTCGCATACGCACGGTTACGGAAGGAGGGTGCAGGCGGAAGGCAGTAGAGAAATCCGCGAATCGGTACGATCGGGAGAATTGAAGCACAACAAATTGCACTTCAGGCAAAATCAATCTTTGTTTCCATGATAATCCACCAGAAATTATAATCAGGAATTGATCTCTTATTGATATTCCCGCATTGTAACTATCAATCATAGTTACAAGAACTATGGCCGACGGCACACAGTCGTTGGGATCCCATCGGGTAAAACTAAACCTTAGGGGTCCCATCAAGCAAATTACTTTCCGCAGGGGTCCCATCAAGCAAATCTCTTTACTTATATCACATCATGATAAACTTTAACTTTCAAGTTAAAGTCGACCAACTCCTCGAGTACCATCCTTACGACTGCCCAATTGATTTAAAAGAAGGTCCAACACCTCCTCTTGGTCCAATCTATGGACTTTCAGAGCTCAAACTTTAAGCTTTGTGGGACAACTTGGCCGAAAGCCTTGCAAAAGTATTTATTCAATACTCCAAGTCTCCAGCAGGCGCCCCAATCTTGTTTGTAAGAAAAAAGACGGCTTACTCCGTCTTTGTGTGAACTACCGTGGACTTAATCAAATCACAAAAAGAAATCAATATACCCTACGTCTTATTTCCAGCATCTTGGACCGTCTTTGCTCGGCTAAAGTTACAACCTCATCCAAACTAGACGAGTAGAAGTCAGCTTTTTAGACATGCTAAGGGAACTTCAAATACAACGATCATGTCTTTTGGACTCATCAATGCATCTGTAGTCTTTTAGCATCTCATGAACTACATTTCTTGCGAGCACTTCAACGATTTTGTTGTGGTATATTTGGATGACTTTCTAATCTTCTTCATAAACCAAGAAGAGCACGACAAGCATGCATCTTTGATGCTTATCAAACTATGCAAACATGGTTTGTACGCCAAACTAGAGAAGTGCGAGTTTGACAAACTTATTGTGGAATTACTTGGCTATATAATCTTTCCTACGGCTATCATCATGGACAAATCAAAGATTCACGCAATTCAATCTTGGTCAACGCTATCCTCGGTCAAAGATGTTAATGTTTCTTGAATTTTCCCAATTTCTATCGTTGATTTATTGATGACTACTCCAAGATAACAACACCTTTGACAATCTTGATTCACAAGAACAAGCCGTTACTTTGGAATTCAAAGGCCGAGGTTGCTTTTGATGCTCCCAAAACCGCATTCTCTTCCACACCGATTTTGATACATCCCAATCCTGCTAGATCATTCATTGTGGAAACGGACGTCTTGACCCTTCCATGGAAGTTATCATGTCTCAACTTCTATCAGATGAATCTCTGCAACCTAATGCTTTCTATTTTTAAAAGCTCACCTGCGCAAAAATCAATTACCCACTCTACAATAAAAAGCTCTATGTCATCATCATAGCTTTTGACCAGTGACGCCTATACATTGCAAGAGCTCAACGCACAGTTCAAGTCCTCACTAATCACAAGAATTTTTTCTACATAACAACCACTCCGATCTTGAATCCTCGTCACGCACTCTGGTCTATCTTCTTGGTAAACTTTGACTTCAAAATCCAATACCGGAATGGCTGTGAACAAGTAGAAGTCAATGCACTCTTGCGTCGCTGAGATCACAAGCTTGAAATAAGAGATTGCCAAGATCACAAGCTTAAAGAAAGGGATCAGGCCTATGGTCAACAGAATTAGACCTTACTCAAGCCCGAACATTTCCAACTTGCGACAATCATGAGTATACTTTTAGATTTGGATTTTCTCAAGGACATTAAGTTGGCAACAAATGGAGACACAAAGGTAACAAATATCAGTGATGAACTTCAAAATCGTCTAAAGAATACTAGCCGCGATCATTTGGATTTATTTAATGAGCAAAACAAACTATTCACATCTATGTAGCTGAAGTATCATTGCACTTGTATGGCACAACAACGTTGTCGCTAGACATTTTGGGATGGTACAGACCTAGAAATTTGTGGTAAGTAACTACTGCTGGCACAAGATGAACAAGTTGATACGAGAATACGTCAAGTCCTACATTACTTGTGTTTGATCCAAGGATGTCAGACATTGTTCCTTTGGTCTCCTCTACCCTTTGTTTATTCCAAACCGGCCTTGGGGATTTATTTTTCATGGACTTCATCACAGACTTACCAATAGTCAATGACAAAGATTTAATCTTGGTGACCGTGAACCGTCTCACCAAGATGGCTCACTTTATTCTGTGCTCCAAGTTGATCACGATAAGAGAATCAGCCCAGCTAGTGGTAGACTAGATTGTTAGACTAACTAGATTGTTAGACTGCACAGGCTTTCCGATGAGCTAGTGTCTAACAAAGGTACTAAGTTCAAGTTTCTTTGTGTCAAAAATAGACTTTCTTAGCATTTCATCCTCAGTATGATGGACAAACCAAACGACCAAACTAGACACTAGAGTAGTCATCATTGCACTTTGAGCTTCCACCAAGACTACTAGCAGACATTGTTATCTCAAGCAAAATTTGCTTACAATAACACAGTGCACGTCTCGATTCATGTCAACCCATTTTTTGCCAACTATGAATATCATTCACATATTAGTTTAAATATTTCCAAAGGTTTAGTAAATCATTCAACTGAAAAGAGTACCAAGCTTCTCAAACGCCTTCAACAAGAGCTTGAATTGGAGCTCAAACTATGTAATAACAGATAATTACCAAAATGGAGCATAACGGTAAAGATCTGATCTCACGAGGACAAAAACAATACAGAGAACAAAGAAGTGTCACGTATTAACCGTCTATTGAAGAGTTTGACTTCTCAAGCGCATGTCACTCCCAGAAGTACTGCAATTGCTAAGTTCAAAGTCAGCACATTGCAACGTAGTATCACACTCAATTCCTAAAATTGATACAATCAAAATCTACAAAGATTGATCGCGATTCTGTCTTGGTATTGAGGGGGG